GACGGGGGGCTGTCACATTCACACCTTGGCCTCCGCTCTGCTGCTCCCTGGTTTAGAAGGTCCTCATCCTTCCTCCCTCTCTTCCCTGCCTCTTTCCAGAACCTTCTCTGATAATGTGCTGAGAGCATTGTCACCCTCTGAAGCAGGGGTGGGGCACCTCTTCTCTGCCAGGGACCACTGGATGTTTATAATATCGTTCGCGGGCCATACAACAGCAGCAGCTTAAAAACCAGCCCGCTCTGTTTGGCCAGACACTTAATTAACTCGCCCCTCGTGCCTGGGCAGGGCCGGACCAAAGGATTGCGTGGGCCTTACGTGGGCCGCGGGCCGGACGTTCCCCACCCCTGCTCTAAAGTCCCACCGAGGCTCGGTGTGGCCCCCGGCCCCCTGGGAGCTCAGCAGGGGGATCTGGCCTCCGTTAGTGCTGAGGTCCGGGGAGCGGGAATGTCCGGGGCACAGACACCTCGCACTGGTCACCCCGTTCTGGCTCCGGGCAGAGAAGTGACCTGTGCGGTTGAATACCCGCCCGACGGCCTAGCTTAGTGCTGGGCGCATGGTGGCTGCTGTACCCTGTCTTCTTCTCTTCCCCTCTCCTGTGCACGCCGTCGCCTCCTTTCCCCTCAATTCCTCTGCACTGTCCTCAGACACAGGGGGTCCTTGTGCCCTTGAGGCTTTAAGGCGGTGCCCTCGCCCCCATGGAACTTCAAAGCCCCCGAGACGCTGCAGCGATTGTGGGGCTGCTTTTCTGCTCCCGCCGCCCCGGTCCTGGCACCGCTATCTGGGCCCTGGTGCAGAGCAGACAGGGTGCTTCTCGAGACGGGGGGACCTCCTGGGGGAGACCCCCATCGACCCGGCTTTGGTCGGGCGTCTCGTCCTGTGGAGTGAGGGAAGTGCTAGGGTGAGGCCCACCTACCCCTGAATGAGTCTTTGGAAAGGACTGGGGGCTGAGCAGTCATAGCATCACCCCCCCTTCCCCACCAGCTCCCCCACCTTCTCTCGTCCAGCCTGCGCCCTGTGGGCCTGGCGGGCAGTGTGGCTTCTGAGGGCTCTGCAGGGGCCTGTGCTCTGAGCTGGTGCTTCACCCCCCTCACAGCTCCCGGCCGGCAGCCGGCATTCGGTGCGAGCTGATGGCAGCCTCCACCTGGACCGGGCGCTGCAGGAGGACGCGGGGAAGTACAGCTGCGTGGTCACCAACACGGCCGGCTCCCAGCACAGGCATGTGCAGCTGGTCGTCCAGGGTGAGTCCTGGGGCCCAAGGTTGTGGGGTGGGGGAAGGTGCGTGGGGGGAACTTGATCTTGAATACCTTTGTTTAAAAAAAAATTGCACAAGTAGTACATAGTCACTGTAGGAAATTGAGAGACCAGACAGGTAAGTAAAAAATACTCCTATAATACGCAAAGCTAAGATTAACCAGAATAACTTTACATTTTAGTGTGTATCTTTCATACTGTATACACATGTGAGCTTACACACACACCAATCACCATCACCACCCCTGCTAAAGCTACACTGTGCTAAGTTATATAAGTTATATAAGTTATAACTTGTATATAAGTTATATAAGTTATATACTTTCAAAAAGTAGTTTTATTAATTTTTGGAGAAAGAGAAAGGGAGAGGGAGAGAGAGAGAGAAAAAAGAAACATTGATGTGAGAGCGAAACATTGATGGGCTGCCTCCTGCATGTCCCCTACTGGGGATCGAGCCCACAACCCCAGGCATATGCCCTGATCAGGAATGAAACGGGCAATTTTTTGATTCATGGGACGACACCCAACGGACTGAGCCACACTAGCCAGGGCTAAATCACACATTCTTTATATAAATTATATATGCGTCTATATTTCTACCCACCTGTGTATGAATTCCTTATAAACACATACACATACATGTGTTTACGCCACGCCAGGGCCACATCATTACACCGCTGTCTGAGCCTGCGTGTTTCCCATGGCACTAGATTTTATAATGTTTTCTATCAGTAAGTTCCCAGAGCCTCGGCCTAAGGCTGCGTGCGCTGCGTGCCCTGCATGGATGAGCCGTGAGCCTCTAGCCTGTCCCCTCGCATGAGCACCCCGGAGTCACCGTCCGTGCCTCCACCTTTGCCCACGGGGCCGAGTGTCCTTAGGACAAACCCCTTAATGTGGAGTTGAGCGCTGAGTCCCGGAGGTGGCCCATTTTTAGGGCTTTTCGTGTGTTTTTCCCAGTTCCTCTCCCATGCACAGCGCCCGAGTCCCTGCTTCCCTTCGCCCTCCCACCCAGGTGCCTCGTTCTCTTTTGTGTAAGACGAGATGTTTAAAGGAAGCCTGGTTATATTTTGTCATTTACCACGTCTGTTAATACCCTCTTTAAAAAAAATCTTCTTTCATAAAATCCCCACGGAGTGAGCGGGAAGAATCCACTATTCTCCATTTTTTAGGGGAAAACCAACGTTCGGGCGGAGGCTGAGCCTCGAGCCCAAGTGTCTTGTGTCCCCATAATTCCCACAGGGGTCAGAGGTGGGGCGCAGGCCACACGGAGACCTCTGTGGGGTTCTGCGTATGCTTCACTTCATTGTCATCACTGCTCCAGGAGTGGGCTTCCTGAAGTTAAGGCGGCCGGGGCTCAGAGAGGGGAGGCGCTCCTCCAGGTCACAGGGTCCGCGGGCCAGGCTGCCTTCGCAGAGCGAGTCCCGGGGGGTCGGGTGGGTGCGTGAACGCGCTCCGGTCTCCCCCACCCCCCACTCCTCTTAGAGACCCCGTTTCTGTGCTTGAGGATCGGATGGTGCCCAGGTGGCTGTGGCACTTGTTCCCAAGTCCACCTGTTCTGTGAATTCTATTTTTTGCCATTTCTCATCCGTCCACCCTCAGAGAGTGGGCAGTGACTTGGGGTTCATTTCGTTGTTTTTGCTGATCAAGGAGTATGGGTGCCAAGAGATGAAACGGTTTATCCAAAGTCCCAGAGCGCAGAAATGGCACGGCTGGTTCCCAGGCACGGCTGCCCTCTGCCTGGGGCCTGACCGCACAGCAGCGGTGGCTGAGGGACCACGCCTTTGTGTTCTGCTGCTGACATTGTTGCTTTTAAATTGTGTTAAAATCTACATAACAGAGCTTACCATTTAAAAAATATTGTTATTAACTCCAGAGAGGAAGGGAGATGGAGAGAGAAACATCCATGATGAGGGAGAATCATTGATCGGCTGCCTTCTGCACGCCCCCTTATTGGGGATCGAGCCCGCAACCCGGCATGTGCCCTGACTGGGAATCGAACCGGTGACCTCTTGGTTCCTGGGTCGATGCTCAACCACTGAGCCGCACTTGTCGGGCCCCATTTTAACCATTTTTAAGGGCACAATCTAGTGGCACGAAGTAGATGTATATTGTTGCCTAACCGTCACCACCATCATCTCCAGAACTTTCCCATCTTCGCAAACAGAAACTCTGTCCCCATGAAACACTGACTCCCATCCTCCCCCAGCCCCTGGCGCCCCGCATTCTACGTCCTGGCTCTCTGGTTTGCCCACTCCGGGCGCCTCGGATAGAGGGAGTCACGGAGTATTTGTCCTTCTGTGTCTGGCTTATCTCCCTTGGCATCATGTCCTCAAGTTCGTGCCTGGGGCAGCACCAGATCTCTCCTCCTTATCAAAGCTGGGGAATGCTCAGTATGGACACACCGAATCCTGTTCATCCATCATCCGTTGATGGGTATTTGATTGTTTCTGCTTTGGGCCAGTGTGGATATTGCTGTGAACTGTGGTTTACGAAACTGGTTGTTGTTTTCTTAAAGTGCCCCCTAGAATCCGGCCCACTGCCACCCACCACGTCACCAACGAAGGGGTTCCGGCCTCTCTCCCCTGCGTGGCCTCAGGAGTCCCCACCCCCACCGTCACCTGGACCAAGGTAGGCGGAGCCCGTGGCCACTGAGGGTAACAGAGGGCCAGGCCCCGTGCATCATGGGAGGGGAGCGATGCACATGCCGGGGGTGTGGGCTCTGCTGACGTCACTCACCAGTGACTCCACCACAGGAGACCAATGCCCTGGCCTCCGGCGGTCCCCACTACAATGTGAGCAAGGATGGCACCTTGGTCATCGCCCAGCCGTCCCCCCGGGACGCAGGGGCCTACGTCTGCACGGCCACCAACAGCGTGGGCTTCTCTAGCCAGGAGATGTGGCTGTCCGTCAACAGTGAGTGAAGGCTGCCCCCATCCTGGGGTTGGGGGGGCTCGGCAGGCGTGGAGTCAGGACCGGGACCCTGACCGTACGGCATCTTCCCTGTGCCCTGATCAACCTGCCCCCACACTCCCCAAGGAACGCTCCAGCCAAAGCCGGCCTCCTGGAGCGCTGTCCCTAGCAGTGAGGACGTGCTCAGAGAGCGGCTCCCACTCGCGTAGACGTGAAATCGTGTGGTGGTTGTCTTCCTCCGTCTCGGCCTTTGTAGCCAGTGTGGGGAAGCCGTCACACGAACAAGCCTCAGAAAGACACACAGCCCTACGCTGGGCCCCCGCCCCGCACTGGGCACCCCCTGCCAGCCTCTCCTCCTGATGCTCTGTGCCCAGACCCTCTGACTTCCTTCCAATTCCTCGAATGGGCCATTGTGCCGCAGGGCCTTTGCACGTGCGGTTCCTTCCGTTTAGAAGGCCCTCCCCCACCTCTTGGCCCAGCCGACTCCTCCCGTCCACAGATCTCAGTTCTCCCTGATCCCTCGGGCTGAGTCAAATCACCTTGCTGTGGAGGGTGGACGAGACCCTTCACAATGCCCGTCACAACTGTGAGCACATAAATATTGTGCACGAGCCGTTGGGCACCAGTGCTCCCTGTGGCCCCGTGCGCTGTGAGGACCAGGGCGGGGCCTGGCCTTGCTGCTATTTCCCCGCGGGCACCGCAGAGCTGGGCACCGCAGAGCTGGGCCCTCAGTAGCCGTCTGGCCGAGTGAGCAGGCGCACGGCCGGTCTTCTATCATTTACTCTCAGAGCCGGTCTTTTCATGTTGCAAACATTTTTTTGCCAGCGGGGTCTCTCTCAGCGTCATGATGTATAGGGAGCTACACCAGGGTTGCCTGGGCCTCCACACCCCCAGCTGGCTGGCCTGGGTGGTTATGGGTGCTCGGACAGGTCCTGGGTGCCTTCCGTGTATGAGCACATGGCTGGAAATGTGGGGGGGGGCATAGAGAAGGAGGGGCTCGGGGTAGTCTCTGCCATCAGGAGCCTCCGCTTCATATGAGAGCCAGGTGATGGGCACAGGTTAGTGTAAACCCCCGATGGGGTTGGAGGAGGCCAGAGGGAGACTGGGTGTCACCTGGTGATTGGGTGTCACCTGGTGTCTGATGTGTGGGAGGAAGAGGGATGATCATGGGGGACAAGGTGGAGAGGGAAGAGGTGGAGGACAGGACCTGCCCAAATGTCCCCAGGGAAGGAGCAGCAGATGAAGAGAAGCTAGAAGCTGGGACGGGGGCACTGTGTCCGTGTCATCCTAGCAGAACGAGCTTCCAGAGGGAGGGTGGCGGTGGAGAGATTGGGGGGGGGAGGGACCGGGGAAACCGTCGGGTCAGAGCCCACCCCCAAACCTGCACTCCCCCATGATGACAGAGCCACACCCATCCTCTGTACCTCCCGGGAGGCAGTGCCACCTCAGCTTCCTGGGGGAGCTGTCCTGGTCCCCTCGGGGCCTCGTCCCATGGCCCCCTGACCTGCTCACAGTTTCTGCCTGTTTCCACCAACAGCCAAGCCCAGGATCCACGGGAATTTCTCACGTGATGCCGACGAGCCTCTGAGAGTCACAGCCAAGGCCGGTGACGAGGTGACCCTGGACTGCGAGGCCCAAGGCTCCCCACCCCCACTGGTCACCTGGACCAAGGACTCCCACCCTGTGCCAGCCGCCCCTGACAGGTAACCCAGGTGCACGGGCAGGGGAAGAGCTTGGGGTTTAGGGGGAACCTGGCCTCAGGTGGCCAGTGGCCAGTGACCGGGCGTGTGAGGACCCTGTGGATGCTCCACGGGGTGTGCGTTCCCTTCTGCACACAGCGCTTTTGTCCCTGGTCCCCTGAAGCCGCTCCGAGGACCCTCAGAGGGTTCGTGACGCCCAGGGCGAGACCCCTTGGAAATGGCAGGCGCCCCACGTTTCACACCCCGGCTGCTGGGAGCTGCCCGCAGACTCTCCTGTGATCGGCACAGCAGCCCCCGATCTGAGCTGAACTGAGGCTTCTCCCTAACTGTCGGGTGTCCTGGGAGCGAAAGGGGGCTGGCTTGGGTCTCCTTCAAAGCCAGGCCGCACGCCCCCAGGCAGGGGTGTGGGCGGGGGGTAGTTCCAGGCAAGAGAGCCTTGACACTCCTGAAGCCCTTGACCCTCGGAGGCGGGGGGCGGCTGCGGCTCAGGCCGGTGACATCAGCCCTGGCAAGGCCTTTGAGACGTTCCAGACTAAGGTCTGTGCCGCCCCCACCCCTCTGACACCCACACGTGGGTCTCTATCTCAGAACATCTGTTTGCTGAGCCGTTCCAAACCTCCAGTCTGCAGGCAGCCGGGGTCCTGTGCCTGGGCTGGGTCCCCCCACCCCATGTCCTGTGGGTGTCTCTGCAGCTCCAGGTGGTGCGTAGGGGTGGGGGTGGGCAGCGGGGGGCGGGGGGAGGCCCCCCGCGTCTCTCCCCGGAGAGCCTGGTCCTAGCCCCTTGGCCAGAGAGCCTGGTCCCAGCCCCTTGGCTGGGCGGTGGCCGGCGGCCAGGTGCTTGTGAATTTACGACTTGTTGCTGACACGGGAAACCGCAATTCCCACGCGCTCACCCCTCTTGTTGTGATGTGCGACGGACCATCCGGGAGCCGTAAATCTGTGGAGCCGCTTTTGCAATCCTGGGTTCTGCTCTGTTCCCTCTCCCCTGCCCTCTCCGCTTCTTGCGGGCTTCCAGCTCTCTCTGAGATTTATGAGATCTGGGAGTTTATCTCAATGAGGAGGAACATGGGCCTGGGGGCGGGGCGGGGTGAGGAGCACAGACCCTGGAGCCCATCAGCCTTGAGCGCTGATCCCAGTGGGCCCTTCCAGTCGTGCGGCCGCGGGCCTCCATCTGCAGCGTGGCCGCGGTTTAAACAGTGCTCGTGCGGCTGGTGATGGATGTGCGACGCTTGGTCCGTCCTGAGTGCCCGAGCGCCGCTCCCCCTGACAGTTTCCTGCTGCTGTTCACAAACCGAAGCATCGCTTCCAGCTTTTAAAAGAGGTCACATCTGTTATCCCGTTTCACTTGCGTCCCCTTTGTTCAGTAGAAAAGCTTTATTGAGATGTAACTCACACGCTGTACAGTTCTAAGTCCGGTGCGTTCGGAGTTGTGCAATCATCACCGCCATCA